GCTTGAAAATACCTTGGTTGACTGCTTTCTTTAAGCCAAATACTCATCTTGTATCCCCTTAATAATCCAACATCTGGTTCTACAGACTTCATGGAATTTATCAGCTTTGAGGTATCCACTTTTAACATGTCAATTCGTAAAAGACTGTGGCTTTTGATGTTTTCCACTACTATGATGAGTATTATCTTGAATTTGTTTTTTGTCTTAAACGTACTATCAAAGCATTCTAAAATTTTGATGATTAAACCATAGAACTATTTCAACTGGAGATTACATTATTTAACCTTTGGTCTGCCCATTCTTTCCCAAAAATTCCTCAGTATCAACGTAACGTCACTTCCAGTCCTGTATGAGTAGTAAAGTTACTCTGTTCAACTTCACCATTTCCTTACTTTTATCCTGTGTTTTTATCTTAAATAACTTCCATACTTTCAATTGAGGAATTTTTTACTTTTTCCACTCGCTTTTCATATGTACATACTGTCTGGAAATGATTCCTCTTTTTACACTTAAAACACCATTTCCCAAATTCTGGACATTCATTTTTGCTCTTTTCATGTTCCTTATTGCAATATCTGCATACAAGTAAGCTTTTAGTAGCAATATAAATCTCTATACTGCCTTCAGAGACATTAAATTTTTGAATCAATTCCAATTGTTGTATGAACATCATACATGCTTCCAGATTCATATTATGATCTTGAAGTCACTCTAGAATTTTACACTTGCATGAGATGTCAAACATTCCTTGATTCAGTCTTAGCAAAATTAGCTCATCTTAGATAAACATTGTGGAAACATTTAACGAAATAAGGAAGAAGAATAGTGAGTTTCAATGGACAAAAAGACAGGAAGTTGCTTTCAAGAAATTAAAATAGCACCCATAAATGAATTAGTTGTTAAAATTTTTGACCCAGTGAAAGAACTGATGTTAACTACTGATGTCAGTGAATGAGTTATAGCCGTGATATTATCACAGGAGGATCACCCTGTAATGTAATTCAGAAAACTAACATCAGTGGAGGTGAATTATTCGAATATTGAGAAGGAGGCATTGGTGATTGTGTAGAACATGGAAAGAGCTAGAAATTTTTTGCTGAGAAGGAAATTACTATTAAAATCTGATCATAAGATTTTTGAATTTAAATTCAACCACAGAAGAGCATTGCCAAAGGTCAAGTCTGCCAGAATATTAAGATGGACAATTAAACTTATGGAGTTCAACTTTAACATTGTATATATTAAAGGAAATACTAGCCTGCATGTTGACGCATTATCTCAGTTAAATTTTGAGAGTAAAAATGTTAAAGCAAGTGAACATTGTGAGGATAGAATTTTGTACTGGATAGAAATGGATATATTATCCTTAAATCAGCTTAGGTTGGGAACTAGGCAGGATCAAGTGTTGAATAGAATTATGGATAGAATAAAGAGAAATACATGAAGTAATTGCTCTATGTCTGAGAGGCCTTATAAAGAGTCAAGACACAAATTAACGATAGAAAAAGAAATTATATGTAATGGAGATATCATAGTACCTCCAGTCGCTGAGAAAAGAAATAATTAAATGATGATATACATGCAGGTATATTGGCTACGTAAATGAGGTTAAAGTTGCAAGCATGGTGACTAGGCTATTCAAGAGACATGGAAGAGTATGTTAAAAAATGCCCAAAGTGTGCAGAAATAAAGAAATTTAGGCAAACTAAAACTCACTCTTGACCAAAGGAAATGGAACTGTGGACACAAGTACATATTAATGCCTACATTAATGGTATAGAATATTTCTGATATTAGTCAACTCGTATTGGCCTGAAGTTATTAAAATCACAGATAGAAAAGCCACTACTGTGAAGAGGGTATTGAGGATAGTGTTTTTGAGAAATGTAGTTCCAAAAACCTTGGTCTCTGACAATGCACCTGAGTTTTGTAAAGAAGGTTTTATGTGTATAGTTAAAATGTATTGGCTGCATTTCATACAAAACATCACCTTACCACCCACAGTCAAATGGAATTATGAACAGAATGCTTCAAACAGTAAAAATGGGATTAAAATCATTCTCTCCAGTGGATTATGATATAGAGAGTTATTTACTCAGGCTACTCCTAAGTTATAGAGCTATTCCACATACAGGCAGAAAACAAGCCCATCTACATCAGTGGGAAAACAAATAAGAGCTCCAATTACCATGTCATTTTCAATGAATGAAAGTATGTGGTACGGAAAAGACAAGGATTCAAGTCCTGAAAAGATGAATTTTCTGGTGCAAAAGGGAATTAACACAGCTGTGTTAACAAAGAATGGACAGGGCATACTGGCTCATGAAGACCAATTCAGAAGCACAAGAGAGTATGAAGTTATGGAAAAGGAGGAGGAGGAAGAGGAAACAGATGATGTATGAAAGGATGAATGAATCCAGTATTGAGAGTGATCAGGAAGACCATAAGAGATGTGAAAGTGAAGAACAGGAGAGAATGAGTGTATCCAGTAGTGGTGAAGAACAACCTGGGTATAAGAGTGACTGGAGATACCATGATGATTCAAATGAGGAAAATCAGACCTAGATCTCCTATAAAAAGAAATAAAGAGACTCACTCTGAGAGACAGATGATATCTCCCAGGGTTGTTTGTAGAAGTCAAAAATCAACTAAAAGTATAAAGCCTCTTAGGTTCAGGGAGGTGCAGTGATATGTAAATGAGGTATTGTATAAAAGGCAGTATCACTATATCTACAGGAGAGTTATCTTCTCTTGATGAGGCTACATCTGTCTGAGAGAATAGCTATCATAATAATATATATGAAGATAAAATAATATAAATATATATATATTTAGTTTACCCTTATATGTATAAGGGTAAACTTCATATATATATATATATATATATATATATATATATATATATATATATATATATATATATATATATATAGGATATCAAATATATATATAAGGATATCATATATATATATATATATTTGGGTAAACTTTTATATATATATATATATATATATATATATATATATATATGAAGAAATATAGTTTTAAGGTGTGCTATATTTATCAGATAAAGTGCTCAATATCAGAGATAGAGCATATGTAAATCTAAAAGTGAACATTGAAGTCAACACTAGAGGCAACAGGTTGTTTCATGCTAGATGCAATTGTCAGGCCACTAGCATGAAAAAGCCGGTTGCCTCTGAGTGTTGATTTCAATGTTCACTTATATATATATATATATATATATATATATATATATATATATATATAAAAAGAAAGGACAGTAAGATATATAATTTGGTGTTCTTATTGATATTTTATTTTTTACAAAATAGTGCTCAATGTAAATTTACAAAGTATTAATATTATAAATTAACTGATTTAAAATGTTTTTTTTTCGCTACACAGTAATAACCATTTATTTTTTTATAAGTTACTCCAAAATTTGCTTGAGCATGAAATGGAACTAATGTTTTTAATTTAATTACAAAATTAAATTTGAAACTTTTAGCTTCCATTTTTGAAACATGGTTATTATTGTGTAAAAAAAAAACCCATATTTTAAATCAGTTAATTTATATATATATATATATATATATATATATATATATATATATATATATAAAAAGTTTACCCATATATAAAGACAAATACAAAGGAACAATTTATTCTAAGATTAAAATCTTTCCAAGACATAATTTCTGAATCAAATCATGTAAGAAAATAATTTAACCCAATATAAACTGAAGGTGCTTTCAGATGCAATTGAAGGAATGCAATATTTGTGTGAGTCAGTATAAATTAATTTCTAAATAATGCAATTTTAAGATACATTATATTAAAGAAACAACTATGATATAAACTAGACCATCTATTCTAGATAAATACAAATTTTAGCTAAAGAATGTACCTCTCTTTTACACTAATGTCTGAGAAGGCATGAATCCAATTCTCCTTGTACTCTGTTCTATCATCAGTTATCTTAAATATAATCTTGTCTTTAGCATGCAATGTTGACAGGCAAAGAAAATAGTGTATGAATGAATACATAAGTAATCAGCTCAGGTGTAATAAGTTAACCTGTCCAGGCAGTAACAGCAAAAAGGTTGCTCTATTCATTGTTAGTATTGATAATATTAATAATAGAAACCAGTGAATGAATGAGAGTGGTAAAATAATTATAAAATGAATAATAGGCCAAAAACTAAAAAATAATTAAGCTTAATATAAAATGAGTTTTTTTCTTTATTCTTTGAATCATGATAGCTTTTTTTATAGAAAAATTTTAAGTCATTACTGTTTTTTTTATTACAAAGCAAATGTTTTTAACTTTTATGTCCATATTTATAGAAAAAAAATCAATTAAAAACAGTTTCTTATATCTAAAAATCAAAAATTGTTTATTATTACATAATTTTAATTTATCTAAAATTTAAAAAATATCCTTTGAACTACGTTTTCCTCCAATTTTCAAGTCATAAAACTTTCATATACCAGTCAATAATGAATGCATTGTTTTTGTTTGTTAAAGGAACAGCTTCTGCTTAGTATTTGAAGAAAACTAATTTAATCGTAATAAATTTTTTGTATGCACTACAATTTATACACGCAATTTTTATAGTGTAATTAATGTAAAGAGCATTAACTGATTCCTGAACAGAAAAATTGAATATCTAGAAAGGCACCATCCATAGTGAAGAGAGCATGCCATCTTAGTGAAGAGCTTCTTAGCAGTAGCAGCTGGGAACGGGCAACCGGTTGAGTCTGTATTGTACCGTAGTCGTAAGCAGAAAAACTGTATAAAAACATTAGCAAATAAACTTCTATAAACAATAAGAAGGCTTCATAAAATATTTAAAACATATTTAATAAATAAAAGGTAATATTTACTAAAGATTTAACGAGTCTTGTTTAAAACTAGAAGAAACCAAGGGATACTAATATTCACTGCGGACTACCGGAATTCGTTTTCGTTGCACTTCCGCACCGAAAAAATCAACATGGATATCCCTAATCCCCCGGAAGGTGAGGAAATATATTTAAATACGTATAATTCTTATGAACTGAAATCTTGTAATCGTTGTATTTGGTTAATTATATTTTAATTCGGGTTACGAAAAACCAAACTTAAACTAGCCATTCTCTTATATTCTTCATTCGTTCGTTTCTCAATCTAACAACGACATGTGTGTCCAGTGGCCCGCGGAAAACACCAGTTTGGATTTTTTTTACCAAATTTGATGTTTATTACAAAACTTGACTTTTATAAGAGTCTTTACATTATGTAGATCTTATTAAAAAATATAGGATCGGAACATCAATGTAGTTTCTTTTTAAAAATCATCATTTGTGTTATCTACAAATTCGGCGACCAAACAATGTCAAAACAACATCGTCACATTTCATAAACAACTCAAGCTATATTCACACATAGGCAACTCATTGTAAAATATGTGTTTATGTTTGTAGAAAATATTGTTAAAAATTCAGTTTCTGAATATAAAGATTATTAAAGAACGATTTAAAGTGTTACCTTTAAACTACAGATAACGATGAAAATTTCTTTGGTTTCGAAATCTTCATTGTTCTGTGAGTAAAATCTTAAAAAATATCTAGGTTTGTTCAAATCAAAAGAAGTTAATTTTTTTTTATTATAATATTTTCAAAGATTTATTTAAATATATACCTACGAGAAATGTATGAAATTACCGTTAATGCCTTTTACTTTACTTAATTTTTTCTTAAATGTTAAAAAGAGTTATACAAGCCATCAGGTTTGAAGTAAATTTTTTGGTATAATTCAGTAAAACATCTCTTCAATACAAAACGTTTTTATTTTCTGATAGGCTTTAATTCTTTGACCAAATTGGCTTTATTTTCTAAAACGAGATCAATGATCTGCAGTGACAGATCTCAGATAACAGATGGTAATCAAATAAATGAATGCTTAGCTTATTTTCCACGTCCAGTTAAAAAGAAATTTAGAGTATTCCAACGATTTGGATGTTTCAACCAGTATCTCAGAAAATATCATCTTTATTCACATACATATACAGAAGCCCTAGAAGAAATGCTGTTTCATTATTTTTACCAAACAGTTTGCAAAGATATTAGAAAATATTCAACAAGTGGCGGATATTGTGCATCACCAGATTCTTTTAGCAGCTGTTTACATCATTTACAATCCATGTTTTCAGTTTTATTTACAAAATCTGTGATACCCAAGTATTCAGAATTAGTTGAAGTTATAGTGGCCACATTTTGTAAAATCAATGATCTTAGAGTTTAGAGCTCTGTGAAATGCATTTATACCTTGGCTAAGTCTTTGAAGTTGTGCATCATACCATCAAACTTGCTCTTCTTGTCATATGTGTGTTACTCAATAGAAGGTATTAAGAAATCTGCAAATTCATTTAAATCTACCTGTTGTCAGTAAGGTAATTATAACTATGCATGCCAATGTAATTTCATATAAATAAATACATGAGACCTTCCACGTTTCTAAGGATCAGTTTAAATCTGAAAGTGATGCTTAGCAGTCAAAAAATTGGGTATTGATCACATAGAAAAGATTTTGGAATTTTTTTTTTTGCATTAGCTTCAAGTGACTTTTTTATTGGTCAATCTTTAATAGCACTATCTTGTGAGATGAGTCTTGTGTTTGTAGTGTACGTGATAAGTATATTAGCCAAATTATATATGGCACAACTCCCTTTAGTATTTTGTCTTTCACTTATATGATCCTTATTCAAGAGTTGAACTCCAAATGTGGCTGGAGTATTTCATTTTCAGATCTATATTTGATACATTAAATGTTACATATATGACAAGGTGGCTAATCTACTAAATATCAGGATTGAACTGAACCTAACTTTGTGAGTAACACAACCACCACAATCTTGTGATTATAAAATCTATGATACTAATATAGTGTCGATTTTTTTTGTATATTTCTAGAAGAATAGATGGTGTAGTTCATATCATAGTTGTTTCTTTAATATAATGTATCTTGAAATTACGTTATTTAGAAGTTTATTGAGAACAAAAGGATTTAATGTTATTAAATCAATGAAAAATAATTTAGGAATAAGCATGTCAGAGGCAAGATGGCTAACATAATCTAAATTAAAAATACTGACCTATTCAAATATTGCATTGCTTTAATTGCACCTGAAAGCACTTTCAGGATACATTGGGTTAAATTATTTTCATAATTTGATTTGATTATAGAAGTAACCATCAGAAACTATATCTTGAAAAGATTTTTAATCTTAGAATAAATTGTTCTACCTCACTACTATGTGTATGTGTGTATATATATATATATATATATATATATATATATATATATATATATATATATATATAGAATAAACTCTTCACTTCTACCATCAATGTATTTTCTTCACTTTGTCATCACTCATATGTTAGTGTTGTTGTTTTTTCTCTTCCTGACTTTACTCTATGAAGTGTCCCACTGTCTCATTAACTGCCCCTATTGAGGTAAAAGAAAAAAAAAGAAGATTTTTTTCCACCTCTAGATCATGTGTTGTCATCAATATTAACATGTAAATCTAGAAATACCTACAGGAAAAAGGTCAATGATAACATATTAAATGTGATTGTTATGTTTCAAAATAGATACATCTTTTCTGTTTTTTGATGAGAAATATATCTCTTTGGAAAGTTTTGTGTTAAAGCATGATTTTAATTGTTAGGATTCATTGCCATAATTTATGGCAAAGAGCATATAGTCTAGCTTCAAGCTATACTCTAGGTAGTCTGAATTTAATCTAGTAAATTTGAATGGTAGTATCTTAGGTTTTATTTGAATGTTGGTGTCATATGTGATAGTTTCCAGTTTGTTAGGTGGTTCTGTATATTGGTTAATCAATTTGAACAGTTACTTGATAAGACCTGATACATTCTTATTCTCTACAAAACCTCAATTGATAAACTTTATTTTCATACTTTGTTGGCTACATATTTGTTGAGGCATTATGTTAATTGTAGTCTGATCATTGTGGAGATATGGCATGAATAAATTGTACAAGATAATTGTACATTGTCTTAAATCCATGTTAACTATTTTACCAACCTGATTATAGAAGGAACATAATTAAAATGTTTATATTACATGTCTACAATGTTGTTACTATAAAAAACAAAAGTAACTATTGTGTAAAAGGTTTTTAGTTTAATTTCAAATTAGTGTTTTCATTTGAGTTGTGATTAAATATATCAAATCCTACAGCACCTTGTGGGATTTAGGTCATTGCTCTGATGGGATTCTTTGCAAATGTGTTAATAGTTTAATACATTGACTTTATTGAAGTTAGAAACAAATCTGGTTCAGTTTAAGTTGTGTATTTTAACACTTTATTTGTTTCATATGAACATATTTTTTTTTTTTACATATTATTAACCATTTTCATTGAGTTATCATTTCTTTATATATTCTCTCAAGATATATTGATAGAATTTTTAAAAGATCAGGTAATGCAGATACTAGTAGATTTTAACACACTGGCTTGCAAACAGATTTTCTTTTATTCTCCTTCATGCGGTGAAAACTCAAAACAATTTTCCTTTTTATTGCTTCTACAACCATCCTCAATTGGAGATGTTATAATGACAAACATATGACAAAGCATTGCTGATTTAGATGTAAGTTTATGCATCACACACACACATTTGGGTGTATATATCTGAGGAATTTTAACAGGGGCATATTTTTGCAAGAATTGAGAAATAACATTCTAAATGAGTTGAAGCAGTTTCCTAAACCAGTTGAAAGCAGTTGTCACATATAAGGCATTTTTAGTATTTGTGGCATCCATTTTCTCTAGCTTTATTAATGCCTATTCTAACGAATGTTACAGCTGCACTTTGCCATTTTCTCTTGTTGGAAGATGCCTTTTGTAGTTAAGCAGTCTTATCAGGTTTTACCTTTGAAAATTGATTTGTTTTTATTGAATTGTGAGCTTTGTAATTTCATGCTGTATACTTGCAGCTTTATTATTTTCCAGACCTCTGAGATATTTATATTGTTCTTGGAGATCAGATTTTACAAGTACAACTGAATTACCTGAGTTTATGAGATAAATTATTTTTTGGAATAACTTAGTTTTCTCTTGCCTTCTGTTAAATTTCATAGCAGATACATTATTTTCAAATTTGTGCGAATTCAGAACATAAGGATTAGTTTGAAATATATTTGAGCCAAATTCTTTACAAATTCAGATAATTTGAGTAACTACCAAGTAGATAGCTAACAAAAGTTGTTTGAAGAAAAATTAGAAACAAGGCCAGTGATAAGTAAGATTATGGAAATGAGAATTTTGTGTTGCTCTTGGTGACTTGGTTGTCAAGATTGTATAGATGTTTCTATATGATAGAAAAAATTCTTATGTTAGGGAATGTAAATTCAAATCTCACCCAAAGATTGGTACTTTGTATTGGTTGTATATAATTTAAGTTACAGTTTCAGGATCTTCAAAAAAAAAAAAAAAAAAGTCATAATAGATGTAATGATCACAGAAAAAAAAATTTTTAGTCTAAAAACATCCTTGATTATAATAGGAAGATAACCAGCTTCACCAGTTTCAATTCAAAGATTTCTTTTTAGTAAACAATATTTTTAATGATATTCTTTCTTAGTTTGTAGTTAACTGTAAGAGACGTTTTGTCTCTATTGATAATTTTGCTTATTGACTATTGCAATTTTGCATTTATATATCTGGTTATTAGAGAAAAGAACTGTTCTTATGTAGAAAAGAACATCCAAGAACTACTTATATTAAGTTGCTTCTTCAGCAAAATAATGATGTAAACTATTATGAATAATATATAATAGCATCTTTGTTAGATAGGTTAAGAAGATTAATAGTTTGGAAGGATGTTTGAAATTATCAGGAAAACTGAACTCTACTTTGCAAACAGGTTTATTATATGAGACATTGGTCCGTGTAGATATTTACTAAGCTGAGTCCTATAATCATGGAAACAAAGACAAAACTTCTGTG